CATTATATTTTTAATTGCTGTTTCTAGCCTCTTTTTGTCTTTGTGTCTTAATATGGCCTAATGACATTTGTTTAGGCCTTTTAAAATTTCAGTATATTTTGTTTGGGAAAACAGCAGTGAGTTCTTATGTGTTCTTCTAATGATTTTATATTCTTATTTTATCTATTTAAAAGTTCATATTCTAAGGTAAATGAATATGCAATGGTTGGCTATAATTAATATAGCAGTGTTGCTTGAGATTGTTGCAGGAAATAAATCCCTTAGGGGAGTTTCACTTGAGAGTTGGGGAATCTGCATCTGTGCGTTGCTTATTTTTCTGTGAGAGTCTCTTCATCAACCCAGGACAGCACATCAGTGAGACTAGAGACGTGTGTGCTGATGGTCTGTATAGCATGCTTTCTTTTTTTTTTTCTTATGAATATTTCATTTACCAAAATACTGGGAAGAGAAATTGATAACCTCTTGACAGAGTTTGGGAAGTAAAAAGGAAGAAAGAATTTAGCTAGCTTTTTCAAGAGGCAGTAAAGTTGATTAGAAAAGACTCATAAATTTTTTTTTATGTCTGTAGAGTATAAAACACAGCTATAAAGGAAGTAGTCTTATTTGAAAAAAAGTAAAACTTAGGCTTTTGTAATGAGTTTATTCTTCATTTGATTCATTGTGCTCACCAGAAGTTCCTTCAGGAGGCAAAAGACTGGGAAACTACATAACATCAACAGCAAAATAACGAGAAACAAAACCCACTCTCTGCTATCTTCTGTCTTTAGTCTTCCTCAGAGGTCTCTCAGTGTTCCCCTACTCAGCCATGCCTTCTGCTTCATAAAGTTCAAAGCCCAGGTGTGAACTGAAGCAAGCTGTTGGATGATATTCTATGCTGACTCCTAATACCTTGCATGGCTTGTTCCCCTTTTCCATGGATTGTCACCAAACCCTAAATAGACTTTTTAAATTGTGGGCTGACTCAAAATCTCTTCTCGGTGTGTCATGGCTTTGGCTTTGGTCTGTGCTCCTTCTTAGCACATTCTCTGCATTGCTAATAATATACTATGTTTACTTAGTTACTTATATTCGGACCATAAAAGGATTTGAGACTGCACATAAAAGGAAATAGCAACACTTAAATGGGTGGGGGCTGTGGCGTATGGATGAAAGACTTAGCTGTGAACTAAATAAATGTCAGTGCAAAAAGAAGTCCTAAGAGCTGCATGCTGTTGTTTTTAAGTAGAGGGGAATAGGTTTACTAGGAGAAGGAAACAAAAAACATTTCCTTCTCCTAGTAGTTATATAAGGGACTGTAATAGAACTTAAGCTTTAACAATAAGGTCTTGACTCTCTCTGGCAACAGTATGCTTGTAGGCAAGTGACTCCAGCATTAGCTAGTGTGACCTTGCCAACAGCATCAAAGACCCAGGTTCTGTCCACTCTATCCTTCAGCACATCAGCCTGACCTGCAGGCTATTTTCTGGGTGGGCACAGAGTAGCTCCAGGAGTTACACGAGTGCTAGTGGCAGACGCTCTCTTCTCCATGTCTTTTTAAAGGTTGAAGTAAATCTTTTCTAGAAACCATTTCAAAGATTTCATTCCTTCTATCTAATTGACCAGAATTCCACAAACATGCCCCCTCTGTGAGCCACCACTGTCTAGGTGAGTTGGATTGTCATGACTTTTGTTGAACATTGACTCTGGTCCTGAAACTGGCCATTTTAGAAGTTTTTGATGGCTGGAAGCAGAGTGAAGCTGCACAGATTCAGGCTCTGTAAGAAGGATGAAGGAAGGGGTGGTGCTCAGGGGTTGAACTCTTGCCTAGCATGCTTGCTCCTCTGAGTTTACTGTAGGGCAGCAACAGAATTACATGAAAATAGAAGGGTGGTTGTTTGGTTTTGGTTTTGGGGGGTGTGTGTGTGAAATTGACACAAACTAGGGTCATCAGGGAAACGGGAACTTCAGTTGAGAAATTGTTTACATCGTATTGCCTTTAGACAAGTCTGTGTGGCATTTTCTTAATTAATGTTTGATATAGAAGAGCCCAGACCACTAGGGGTAGTGCCATCTCTGGGCAGGTAGTCTAGGGTTATTGAGCAGGCAGAACAAGCCATGGGGATAAAGCGCCTGTTCAGGTTTCCGCCTTGGACTGTTTCCCTGGGTTAAATTTGAAGCATCAAAATTTGCTACTCTGAGAAAAAAAGTTGGTTTAGGCTAGGAGAAGTTTCGGGGACATTCAGTGAATGTTTGTAAAGTCACCCTTTTCTCACTGGAATATTAACAGGGTGACTTAGGGCGGGATTTGTAGATTTACTGAAGCATGTTATTGCAGGTACCTTTAACTAAACAAAAGAACTTGGAGGACTTGGTGTTTCTTACCAGTATTTGTTAGTTGTGTTTGATCCTTTGGAGTTTTTTATTGAGAAAAATTCTGATTTAGCACCCTAGTGCCTAGAAGTATTCAGTAATTTTGCTCAGATGTGTAATGGGGGTGTGGCTATATGTATTCACAAGATAGTCATTGTTATTTTAAACAATTATTGATAGTATTTTATTACTATAACTATTAGATTCAAGCCCTCCATATATTTTAGCTTATTAGAAATCTAGTCTCTGTGTTTCAATTAAAATATAACTGCCTTCCTTGAATCTTCATGAACAAAATGAAATTTCACTTTCATTTGGGGCTTTTCTTCAGAAAATAGTTTCAACTTTGTGCTTTTTGGTAAGATTTGATTTTTTTGTTGTTTTTTTGGGCTGGTGATACATATAGCTCAATGAGTCAGAAAAAAAGTTTTACACCTTTTTCAAACCTAAATGAATATAATTTGCAGAAACTATAGTAAACATAGTCTGTCCTTTAGTTATGTTTTGATCATTAAAGGAAAGGAATATATATATATATATATGTATATATACACACATACATATATATACACACACACATACATACATATATATACACACACATACACACACGTTCTTCATTGTGCTAAGTCCTTTAGCATCAAAGAAAGCAAAGTTGAACATTTTTTACTATGTAAGTAACAGGCCTGGAGACATGGCTCTTTGGTTTTGAGCACTTACGTTCTTCCAGAGGACCGGAGTTCAGTTCTAAGCACCCATATGAGGCAGCTCACCACTGCCTGTAACTCTAGCTGCAGGTGAATCTGATACCCTCTTCTGACCCCCACAGACTCTGCACTCATTGGCATATACTGACACATAAATATAAAGATAAATTTTTTAAGAAGAGGAGGAGGAGAAGCAGCAGAAGCAGGAGAGAGAAGCAGAGGCAACAAGCGAACATTTTTTGTGGTGCAGAACTTGAGACAAAGAAAAGTGCTTCCATAGGGACCAATATTGGTTGCAGTTGAATTGAAGTCTAGATGGCATACGATGGCCAATGGAAGGAAGCATACTTTACTCAGTTCTAAAACTCAAACTGGGATCTAGACTTTCTTAAGACCTTTCACTTTATTTGGAGTTGATATAATGTGTTTCTTACCTTGCACATTAGCCAGCCACTGTGCCTCTCGTATGCTTTATCGTCTCAGCAGACATAAGCATTGCAGCTTCAGAAAGACTAAGGCCACTGGTGAGTTGAAGGCCAAGGTGCTTCTTGTTTTCAGGACATTTCAGCTCAAGGTTCCTGCTGTGGGACTGCATGGATGTGCACTGACTAGAGCAGATGCAATGTTCCCAGACGGCATTGTTTTTAATTGTCCAGGACACCCGCCATGTCTCTGTGACAGTGAGTCTGATTAAGTTTCTGATATTAGCAGCTGGCCTAAATCCTAAATTAACTTTTGAATACTTGACTTTGGAACTGTCCTTCCCCTTGACTGGGGGTAAAACACTAAGAGAAACCAAACTTTTGCTGTAGTTTATTGGTTAGAAACATATAGCTCTGATAAATTTCTGAGTTCTTCTGTTCAGTATTGGGAAATTGTGGGGTTTGTTCCATTGATGGTGACTCACTCAGCATTATTCATCTCTTGTCTCCTATAATGAGTGCTAGATGAACAGGAAGCTGTGTTTCTATTACCTCTGCTAATGGTGGAGAGCAGTGGTGCAGATAATCAAAATAGAATGATTTCTAACTGTCCTGAAGCTGTTGGTGCCACCGGGGACAAGTTTCTCATAGCACAGTAATTTCATTTGGAATATGAAGTGGATTGTTCCATAACCAGTAGTGTTTTGATGATGCTTCTGTTGAAGTCACTGTGTGTACAGTCTGAAGATGTGCATGAGTTTGGGGAAGTAGTTTAAGTGCAAATCTTGGGGTATTGTTTTTTTATGTTTTAAAAAGATATAAATTATTAACTTTTTAGTGATTTTTGGTTTAAAAGCTTCCTACAAATAATCTTAAAATTTTTACCCCTTATGTAGGTAGCTAGAGTTAATCTTGAGATCCTGATCCTCCTGACTTGTTCTCCCAAGTTCTTTATAATTTACTGTAGTAAATGCCCAAGTTAAACGTTCCACATTCCCTTTGCTATGGCCTATTTTAAAACAATGTTTTTTTTACACATATATAATTAAGAAAACTTTTTCTGTATGTGTGTTTACAGGTGGGTGTGGAAGCTAAAGGTCAATGTTGGATGTCGTTCCCAATTGCTCGCTGCCTCAGTTTCTGAGACATTGCCGCTCACTGAACCTAGAGCTTGCCAATTTAGCTACCCTTTCTAGCTAGCAAGCCCAGGGATCCTTCTTTCACCACCGGTGTAGTGCTGGGTTCACAGATGTGCTGCTGTGCCCAGCTTCTTTGCATGGACTCAGGTCTTCACGCTTGTGCAGCAAACACTATTGTCCGAGCCAGCTCCCCAGCCTATAAAACCAAGAACCAAACCAAACCAACCAAACAAAAAAACTTTAAAAAATATAATCTTATTTATCTAATCTTTTCCTCTTCATTTGCTTGAAAGAAGCATTCATGTTTTCAGTAATTTTGAACGCTTGCTTCATTCCATGGAGACAATTTTACTTAAAGTCTGATGATTGTTTTTTAATTGTAGTTGTATGTTGATGTGTCATCATGAAGTGCCAAAAGTAACAGAGGATGAAGAACCACCCACAGAACAAGATAAGAGGAAAAAGATGGTGAGTTACAAGCCTAACTGCTCGTTCTTAGTGTGTCCGTCTGCCTGTAGATCTGTCTAGTCATTCATCCCTTGCTGGAGAATCGAAGTTGTCCAAGCTTTGCCCCTCAGACAGAGTTGATGCCTGTCTAAGAAGAGCAGAAGTTTTACTAATTAAAAATAATGAAATTCCAAAACTATATTTAAGTTTTAAAAAAACAAAACAAAAATATTTCGAGGAAACTGGATTTTTTTCCCTAGTATGTTGTTATCTCTACAATGACCCTTCTTTGATCTGCATCGTAAGATATTGTAAAATGCCTTAACTGCTATCCATTAATTCTTGGTATCAGAATCTGATAAGAATAAAGAACAGGAAGCTAGGAAACTTCTGAAATATATTACCTTGAAATTTATTTATAATTTTTAATACTTACTTGGACCATGAATGTAAATAGACAAAGTAAGCGTTGGGAATATTTTCTGGTCTCCTGGCTTCAGTACCTACTGTCTTCATTGTGCCTTCCTTCCTCTCTTGCAAAATGACAGCAGCAATGTTTTCTAGTCAACATTAATGCCCCAGTGAACATATAACATTTGGGACTAAGAGGGCAGCCTGGAAGTCGCTGTGTACTTTCATCGTGATATTTGCCTTGTTATTCTTTTCAGACTTTCAGTTGCCTTGCCTTCATCTTCCAGGACTTGATCCTGACCTTGTGGTTAATACTGCATTGCTCTAATAGCCTTCATTTAAACCCAGCCCAAGTTTAGTCCCTTTCATTTTCCTTTTACACTTAGAAACCATCTTCTTAAAGAATTATTCTTGTTTTTCGGGGTGGGGATGGAGGGCTAGTCTTTAAAGACTGAGCCATCTCTCCAGCCCAGAAATGATTCTTAACACCAAAATTTGAACCTTTTTTGTGCAGTTATGTATGACCTTGAACAGATTACCTTGTCTTGTTTTGCCTCATCTGTGAGATCAGAAGGAAATTGGGTTAGTAGATTGCCAGGACTTGTCAGCTAAAATCTTTTTTGATATATTCTTAAAAACCATTATTGCGAACATAGCGGACAATGAGGAATACTGAGAATTCAAGAACAATTGCAGTGGGTTTTTGATCCTACTGCACGTACTGGCTTTGTGGGAGCCTAGGCAGTTTGAATGCTCACCTTACGAGACCTGGATAGAGGTGGGCAGTCCTTGGGCTTCCCACAGGTCAGGGAACCCTGATTGCTCTTCGAGCAGATGAGGGGGGGGGGGGACTTGATCGGGGGGAGGGGGAGGGAAATGGGAAGCGGTTGTGGAGACGAGGCAGAAATCCTTAATAAATAAATAAATTTAAAAAAAAAAAACCATTATTGCCATTCTTTCTTTTCTGAATACATAGTGTTTATGAGTATCTCCAGAAACATCTCTTGTTTAAATTGAGGCCTTTGTTGCTCCTACAATGGACCATATATTCTCTCCACTTATTGCAGTGAGAGGGCCCTGACATAACTTCTTGGCCATTGCCAGTTCTTGCCTCTATTCCCAACTTTATGAGCATTGCCACAGAAAAATGGTATAGCATTTTTCTTATAGCATTCTAAATTATAAATGAATAATAGGTCATTAATAATAATCTGTCATTAGCTTACATGTTACATTACTTTTTTTTGTTTAGTCTGGTAGATATCTTTAGCAAGTTAAACTACCCAAATCTGTATTTCATTTTGAAATTAATATTTAGCCATATTATATATAGTAGTTTATTTTTGTTCTAATTTTATTTTCAAATTTATTAATTTATTTTCTAATTTTATTATCTCAAAGATCAATGGAGGAACATAGTTTTATAAATAATATTTGGAATTCCTTTGCTCTTGTATGTGGTCTTGAAGTAAATATATATTGTGTTAACATTTTCAATGCCTTACTCTGAGGCGTCTGGTAAAGATATTGGCTTTGAATAAATGTGTAATTTCATCCTTAGCCATGAACAATATTATTATGACTGTAGTGTTCATTTTCTCATAACCTTAAACCAATTCTTCCTTCTGGGGTCTTGGACGAAGTTAAGACTAGATAGTTATACTTTCAGTTTTTTTTAATTATGAAAGAAAGTAATTTAGATATAAAACTTTGGATTCACTAAGACATGTAGTATTTTCTCTGAATATGCTAAATGCAACTATACTGAATATTCTAAATTAATTTTTATTTGATAACTGTTTTGTTGTATATAGTTTTACTATGTTAACATTAAAACCTTTCATTTTATTTAGACAAAAAGGGGGAAATGTAGAATATTATTTTAAGGTATATTGTTTTTGTTTATGCTATGGAACATTTGTTTAATGATGTAAAGATGGGTTGTTTTTGTTTATGCTACATTTGTTTAACTCTGTGAAGCTGTGTTACTTTGCCTGTCTAAAATACCTGATGGTCAGTGTGGTGGAACACACCTTTAATCCCAGCACTAAGGAGGCAGAGGCAGGTTGATTTTTGTGAGTTCAAGGCCAGCCTGGTCTACAAGAGCTAGTTCCAGGGCAGGCCCCAAAGCTACAGAGAAACCCTGTCCCGAAAAATCAAATAAATAAATAGATAGATAAAAAGATATATAAATAAATAAAATGCTTGATAGTCTAAAGATAGAGCTGAATAGCCAATAGTGAGGCAGGAGAAAGAACAGTCAGGGCTAGCAGAGAAAATAAATAGGAGGAAAAATCTGGGAGAAGCAAGAGAACAGAAGGAGAAGAGGATGTCAGGGCCACCCAACACCCGCCAGCCATGGAGTAAGAGTAAAAGTAAGATACGCAGAAGAAAAGGAAAAAGCCCAGAGGCAAAGGTAGTTGGGATAAAAGAGGAGGCAGAAATCTTTAATGAATAAATAAATTTAAAAAAAACTACACAGCTGATTTCAGAATCTGGGATCCAGAAAGGTTGCAACATGCCTTACTTATAGATTTTTGTATTGATTATGTCTAAGTAAAGATGTCTGGTGGAGGTTTGGGTGAAATAAAATATCTAATCAAAATCAAAAAAAAAAGAAAAGAAAAGTTGGTAAGAAACAAGACACGCTAAGGCTGGGTTTTTGTAAGTAATAATAAGACTCTGTGTGTGACTTATTTGGGAGCTGGGTGGCGGGCCCCCAAGAGCAAAGAACCCAAAGAGTAAAAGTAAAAACGAACAACTCTCATTATTTTAAAGTCAAATAAATGGTGCATTGGTAGACACTTCTGCATTATACTGCTCCCACCAACAGTGCAGCTTAATAATGTATAAAGTTACTTATACTGCCATTGTTAAGTTATGTAACTATTAAGGATATATTAAACCAGACCATCACTTAATCTTTTACCCTCAGAATTATCTCATCAATATACATAAACTGCATGTTTCATTAATGATGTTTTCTTAGGGATATCTAAAAGATGCCTGACTACATGAAGTTTGGACATACAGGAGGAGTAAGTTTAATGTGGGAAATGTAGTGAATATATGATAAGCATTCTTAAATTAAAAAATTCTGAGCACTCACAGGATACTCCAAAATTTAATATTTTTGTTCATTTTGGGTTATATAAGATTTATAAGTCAATATAAATACTACAAAATTAAAAAAATAATCTGAAACCTTTTTCTGGCCCAACATTTTGGATGAGAGATATCTGATCTGTAATGTAGCATATATTTAAAAATTATGAAGGCGCTGAAAGTGGTGACACATGACAATAATAATTATAACACTTGGGAGATAGAGGCAGAAAGGTTAAGAGTCATCTTTGATATACATAGAGAATTCAAGACTTGTTTGGGCTACTTGAGACCCTATCTTAAAAAGAAAAAACAAAAAATTAGGAAAAGAATATGGACATTTTGAAGGGTTCAGATTTTAAGTATCTTCTGCACAATAACCAAGGGTGTGAGGTGATGCATATTTTAAGTACCTGAGTTGGTCATTTTACAGTTGATGCAAATCTTATATACTCTACACATACAGAACTTAAAATTTAAAAATAAAGGATAGTAGTAAGATGGGTTAGGTGTGGTGGTCCATACTCTTAATCTCAGCTCTGCCAGAAGGAAAGGCAGATAAATCTTTGAATTCAAAACCAGCCTGGTCTACACAGTGAACTACAGACAATCCCGGGCTGCAGAGTGAGACCCTGTCTCAAAATAAGAAGAAAAAAATAATAATTTAAGAGTGGATACCAAAGAGCATACATATATTCAAAACTAGAGTTTCAAAACTTTAACTTACAACTGCACAATAAATCATTTCACATATAAAAACGGCAACTTCAAATATTAACCTATTAGCATAACTCTCACTAAAAAAATGCCATGAAACCTACATTTTACTATTAAACTTTTTTTTTTTTTTTTGGTTTTTCGAGACAGGGTTTCTCTGTGGTTTTGGAGCCTGTCCTGGAACTAGCTCTTGTAGACCAGGCTGGTCTCGAACTCACAGAGATCCGCCTGCCTCTGCCTCCCGAGTGCTGGGATTAAAGGCGTGCGCCACCACCGCCCGGCCTATTAAACTTTAATATGTAAAGATGAAGCTTAGATTTTTAAATAAAATATTTGAATTGCACTTGATATTCCAAGAACTGTTTTCCTCAAAATGAAAAGAGCAAAGAAAACTGCATTAAAAGATTAATTTCCTAAAAGGAACTCTCATTCTATCTATGACAAAAGTCTGCAGAGGGCAGAGGGCTTTCTATTTGTCTAAATAGAAAGAAAAGCTTTTAAATCTAACACAGTAAAACTATATACAATAAAAGCAATTATCAGGGTTGCATTTAATAATTAATACAAAATATTAATTAATTAATAAAAGAGTTACATTTATAGTACCAGTCCATTTGTATTTGGCAAATTTGAAAAAAGTACTGCATTACTTTTCCTATCTTGAATTAGAAGTTTTGTCTGTCATCTTCTCTATAGTATAGATTGGTGCTGCCAGAAGCAGACATTTCTCATTGTCATAAGAAGATTTGTGTTGTTAAAACATCTTAAGTGTCATAACTGTAGATGTC